ACAGAGTGAGATCAGTCAGTTAAGGGCTTAAAATATACAAAACTAGCTATATTTTGCCAAATCTTGCTTTGTTGAGAGTTTTGTCCCATACATAAGAATTGATATTATTGTAATGTTCTGTGAGTGTGTTTTATTCTTGGCATCTATTTTTGGTGTTCAGTAATCTTTTTCAAATGAATTTTAAGTAGGGATAGGAGCTCAGAAATGAACTTGGTTTTTGTGACTGTACTAAGCTTCCGCCTGTCAGAGAGTGAGTAGAGCTTGTAACAACTTGTACTGGCTTACAGTCTGCCAGGCCATGAATTTTCTTAAGTAATAGGGAACAGAGGTCTTTAAAAGTTTGTGAACTGAGATTTCTTTTAGGTGGTGAAATGAAAGCAGTACTGTACAGGAAATTAAGTTTTGGGGTGAGGAAGTAGAATTGGTCAGACTTAAATCATTAATGTCTCTTTAGTGAGGAGTTATATGAAAAATGTTGGGCAGAGAGTGTGATGCCAGTTAAAATCATAAATGTGAAATGTACTGTGTTAGAGCCAACAATATTTGGAACCAAACAGGAAAAGGAAAGATCTTATGTAGAAGGAATTGGTTGTCATTCTCAAGGGTATGGAAGACTGGTGGTGCACCATTGCGTTCGATTTGCTTTTCTTTAAAGAGCATACCTCACTTGGAGATTTGTGGTTTTAATTTGTGAGATTTCCCTCAAATTAATATTCAGTATTCTAGGAGCACTTTCTTTTTCTAGAGTAGTGTGAATGTTTATATTTGCATATTCTAAGTTAAAGAAAAATAACTTTTGTTTCTTTTCTTCTAGAGGACAAGAAAATTTCCACTGTAGTTGTACAAAATTTAGTTACATATTCACACTCCTGTCTTCATTTTCTAGATCTGTAAGATAGGATGTTTAAGGATCAAGTGGTTTCACCAGCTTTCTTAAGGAGGTTCAGTGAATTCTTACATTGCTATTTGGAGATGGATTTTCCATAATAGGCATGGGATGTTCCTCACTGCAGAGAGGCAAGAAAATGAGCAGACTCTTATTTAGACAAAATATTCGTTGTGAATGTCCTGGCTGGTCGCAGGAGGTGCTCAGAATGTGCTGTTTGAGGAGTGCTGTGGATGCTGTGCAGTCGGACGGGAGTGGTGAGCTCAGAGGAGTTTACACCCTGTCTCTCCTGGGACGTCCTCTGGGGGAGGGGCATCCTGACGTGGCCGAGGCGGAGCCATCTCTGGTCGGATCTGTAAATGCAGAGATATTCTAATCAAGGACCAGTGTCTCCTTGTGAATGTGAATACAGGGTTTTCTAGCATACTTTGGAGGAGGAAATGCCAAGATGATAGTTCTCTCTTTCCTTTGTGAAACCTGTTTTTACAGAGTTACACAGTACAGAGAAATGAGGATTTATGTTTTATTTTTAGGTGATATTTAAAATTAATTAAAGATTCATGATGTTAAAGTATAAAAATGTGAACATAATTCAGTACAAGGACTGATTTTTGGTTTCTAACTTCTGATGGTGAAGAAAAAACACCCATTACTTATAATAGGAGGACAGATTCTCAGATGTTCTCTGTACTTTCTGGATGTCCACTGCAGGAAACATCTGTATTAGAAAAGTATTTTTATATATGTTTTTGAATTTTGGGGACAAAAAAGCTTCTCTCCCTTCCTCCCCCCTCC